TGCTAGGTTAGGGGTCTTCAAGCTTTAAGACTTGCGGACTTCAACTCCCAGAATTCCTCCTCCAGTTATGTTAGCTCAGGAATTCTGGGAATTGAAGTCCACAAGTCTTAAACTTGCCAAGTTTGAAGAGCCTTGTGCTAGATAGCTGGCGGTGGAGAAGTATAAAAATACCCTTGGAGAAAATATGTGGTGAGCCTGGGAAAACAGGAAAGCATAATAAATTGCATTGCCTTGATTCTTTTTGGTATAAAAAGGAAGGAAACATAAACAGAAAAGGAGCCAGACTGGTCCAGTGGTAAAGAAATCAGGAGGTGGTGAATTTTAATCCTGCCTTAGCCAGGAAACCCAACTGGATGATCTTGGGTCATCCACTCTCTCTCACAGCCCAACCCACCTCACAGGGCTGTTGTTGTGGGGAAAAAGAGAAGGAAGAGGAAAGAGTATTTGGTCTTGAGTAAAATATTTGGCCTTGATGAAAATAATGAAGGGATATAAATAAATAGCCATGCTTTCAAGATTCTGTTATGATGGTCTCTATCGGTGTTTCTCAAATTTTAAAGTGACTTGCAAACTTCAGCTCCCAGAATTCCCCAGCCACACTTAAAATTGAGAAACACTGGGAGCAGAGCAGGGGGTCTCCAAACTTAGCAACTTTAAGACTTGCGGACTTCAAGTCACAGAATTTCTCAGTTAGTCATGCAGGCCAGTCATTTTAACAAAAATGATAAAACTGAAGAGGCAGGCTCCTTACATTTTCAACAAATCTGTTTATTGTTGCCTTCCTTTTTTTTTTTTTTTTGGTCTCCATTTCAGTTTTAGGTATTTAAAACGCAGGAGTTTTGGGTGGGAAAAATGTTCAAAACTAGTCTCCTAAAAACAAAACAAAAAGCCAAGTCAAGAGAAAATAGGAAAGAAAATAAATCTTCAAGTACTCAGAGTATAAAGTAGAAAAACAGAAGCGTCCTTTTTATATATAAAAGGTAGTCCCCTCAACTTACAACCGCCATGGAGTCCAACATTTCTGTTGTTAAGCAAGGCAGTGAAGTGAGTTTTGCTCCTTATTATGACCTCTCTTGCACCGGTTGTTAAGTGAATCATTGCAGCTGTTAACTTAATCAGGCTTCTCCATTTTCTCTGCTTGTCAGAAGGTCACAAAAGTTTATCATATGACCGCTGGGACATTGCAATGGTCATAAATATGAGTCAGTTGCCAAACACTTGAATTTTGATCACATGACTATTGGGATGCTGAAATAGTCCTAAGTGTGAAAAATGGTCATAAGTCACTTTTTTTCAGCACCATTGTAGCTTTGAACAGTCACTGAATAAATCATTGTAAGTTGGGAACTACCTATACAGAAAAAGGAAACTTCTGGGGAAAGTGCAAGTCAAATTGAGCCTGTCTGCCTTATTCCTGGCTCCCTCCAAGGTGGCTGCTTGCTATACCAATCTCCCCCTTCCAATATATATATAATACAAAGGACTGTTTTTCTCTCCCCCATCCCCGTCTTGGACCAGATAACGAGGCAGCTGCTGTTAAAGGCATTTAATAGAATTCCTTCATAGCCCACCTGTTCAAATGACCCTGTGTGTTCCAGGCAAACATTTCCATTCTCTTAGGTCTTAAAAGCCATTAATTTCCACAGGTATTCTCCCAACCAGGTAAGGGAGACGCCCTCCCACCCATCTCTGGTCCACAAACTCCCTCAGTTTTAACTTTTAGCACCATATAAACAGAGTATTTGGACGTGTTTCAAGTCATCGCTAGCCTTGCAGGTTCTCAGTTTTCTTTTCTTTCAGCTTTTCCAATTCTGAGGAGTCTTCTCCTGTAAGGTATGATTCAGATAACCTCATTTCCCACCCCGACTCCCATTATTTGGTCCACTTGGACTTTGGGGAATGAGAAATGGAGGTTTTTCCCAAAAGGAAGACTGCTAGGAAGACTGGTTAGTACCCTCACAAAATGGCTGCCAGGTTGGGCGAGGCTGGTTTCCATTTTCCCAGAAGGCAAAATATGTGAAATGGCTTCCTGCCCTCCATTCCAGCTGTGCTGGATATTTTCCTTCATATTAATTTGCTTTCTTTACTGAGAAGTGGAGCAAATGTAATGAAGCACCCTGTTATGATTTATTTTCGGGGTGGGGGAGAGAGTAGCTTCTATTTTCTAAGATATACCTGTCCTATCCATATCCCTGTGAAGGAAAGCAACTTTTCAGATTTTAAATAGTAACAAACGAAGAGGAAGTCTGCCAGTTTGCCTGAAAATATCATTTATATAATATTTCTGTTACAGTGTGACCATCTAGAAAGACATTTACCTACAGCTAAATTAAGCAATGTTCCCTTTAAATTCTCCATCTTGGTGTTGCTTTAAATAAGCATCACCAAGATGGCGAATTAGGATTACAGCTCACAAGAAGGATTCTGAAATTGGAATGAAAGTTCCTCCACCTTCAGAGTATCTATTGCCATTTCTGTTTGTTTATGTGGAAGAGTTATAAGCAAAATGTATACACAATTTACCTATTTCTCTGACTAGCTTGTTTGGCTCACCTAAAAAAAAAAATAGAGTTAACCTTAAAACATGAAACTAAGAAGCTACAACAATAGCAAAGTGTAGGATATTTATTATGTGTTTATTGATGCATTAGACTCATATCTCACTTTTCATTCAGTAGGGTAGTGCAATAGCAATAGACTTATATACCACAGTGCTTTACAGCCATCTCTAAGCAGTTTACAGTCAGTATATTGCTCCTAGCAATCTGGGTCCTCATTTTACTGTCCTCAGAAGGATGGAAGGCTGAGTCAACCTTGAGCCGGTCAGGATCAAACCATGACAGTTGGCAGAGTTAGCCTGCAATATTGCATTCTAACCACTGCGCCACCATGGCTCTTCAATGCTTCAAATTGGACTCTGAGAATGTTTTTTGGGGATTGTGGGTTGTGTGGGATAGTACAAATAGCCCTCACTTAACAATGATACTTGGGACCAGAAATTCTGTCACTTAAGAGGCTCAGTCATTAAGCGCAACTTCACCTCCCTGTCCCCGTTGGCAATGGCAATTCCAGCAGTCTTGGTTGTCATCGTCAAGCAAATTTACACATAGTCATTAAGTGAGAACATCACATGACCCCAATTTGCCACCTTCCATGCAGGTTTCCCTTTTGTTTGTAGGAAGCTGGCAAGGAAAGTTACAAATTTCTGCAAAGTCATACAGATAGTCCTTGATTTATATTTAGTGACCAGTCATAGTTACAATGACACTGGAAAAAGTGAGTTATGGCTGTTTTCTTCACACTTATGACCATTGCAGCATCCCTATGGGCATGTGATCAGAATTCAGGCGCTTGGCAACTGACTCATATTTATGACGGTTGCAGTTTCCTGGGGTCACATGATCTCCTTTTGTGACCGTCTGACCAGCAAAGTCAAAGTCACTTTAGAACTGTGTTATTAACTTAACAACTGCAGTGATTCACTTAACAACGGTGGCAAGGAAGGTGGTAAAATGGGGCAGAATTCACTTAATAACTATCTTGTTGTGCAGCAAAAAAAATTTGGCTCAATTATGGTTGTAAATCGAGGAGCACCTCTAATTGATGGAAGTGCCCAAATCACAATCATGCTGTGGATGCTGCAACAATCACAACTAAGAGGACTTATAAATCCTACTAGTTCAGCCCGGTTATAACTCTGAATGGTCACTAAATAAGTTTTGTTAAAGATGACGTTGTAGTTGTTTGCATCTCTTCAAAGCAGTTACTGGAGGCTGTTTTAAAATGTTTCACCCAGGTGCTTTCTTTCAATACCTATTAATTCTAGAATCTGATCTCAATAATCATATCTAGAGGTAGGGGGATTTGTCTGGATATCCTGCATTAAAATATAAATTATTTTCCCCCTAAGGTGGTTGGTTGTCCATCCAAGGAAAATAAATGCAAGTCTAAATAGATAGAGCTCTGTTGAGAATGGGTCATGTAGTACAGTTGCTTTTAATAAAGGCAATTTCTCTGCTGGGATTATTAAAAAATGGAATGGAAATTTAAATAGCCAATGGGTTTTCATAGATACTGGTGAGCTGCCTGCATTTGTTCAGTTCTTTAGAACCCTATTTTCCAAACTTGGCAACTTTAAGATGCGTAGACTTCAACTTCCAGAATTCTGGGAGTTGAAGTCCACATATCTTAAAGTTGTCAAGTGTGAAAAACACTGCTTTTATTTCAAACTAAAATGTTTTGCTCCTCCATAACCCCAGAGAACTAGCCTTATTAGTTTTAGTTTATTGTCATTGCACATTGCACAACAAAATCAAACACCATCTTTGGTACATATCATGACCATGAAAATAAACACAAACACACATCCTTCACCCCCCACACACTGAACTGAATTATATGAATTATAATTCTGAGATTGGGCTTTTGACTCACACCGGGCAGGTTCGTTTCATTTTGTGTGAGTTTTATGCCAGGCAAGATCTGATTATAATCCCCACAGTTTTAAAACCAGCTCTCCCCTTCAACGGTTTTGCCCGTATTCCTTGAAATCCAAAGAACTGCATGGGCAGGTGACCAGGTGGGTAGACAAACACAATATATTTAGAACCAGGAATTTTGGGAAGAAGCTGTCCTGGGAGGCACCTTGTGCATTTTGGACAGAATTGTGGCAAGGAGACTGCATTCTGCTTGCTGATAAAGGACTCCTGAAACAGGAGTGAGAGAGAGAGAGAGAGAGAGAGAGAGAGAGTTGGAGGAGAAAGAAAAAAAAAACAGAACAGGTTAAGGCACTTCCTGAAATTAAAGTAAAATTGAGAAAGGGAGTTTCCCTCCTGATCTGTCTCCCTCCCTCCCTCCCCAATCAAACATACACAAACCCAATCAGGTAGACTCAACTGGGCGTGGATTATGCTCCAGGTTCCACCTCTACCTTTCCTGCAGGGCCAATGGCCTCGCCTGTTGGGAAATTGACTCAGGTCATGTGCTTCCACCGAGGGGCAGGTAACTTAGGAAAAAGAGAGCGAGGAAAAAAAAGATTCTTTTTAAAAAAAAACAAAAAAAAAACCTAGGCTGGGTTCCTGCCATGATGTCAGAGGGAGACAAACGGACTGCCTGTTAAATTTTATCCCCCAGTTAGAGCTGGGGAGACAGAACTCACCTCAAATACAGGTACAACAGCAAACAGATTTTTCCCCCCTTTTATTAAATGTTATTTGAATCTTAGCTACCTTCACCCTGTTCCCTTTACCCATAGTTCTGGCTTTTCTGAGATTGACCTTTTTATATCTTCCCTTTGATCACTTGGGGAATGGGGGTGCCCTTCATTTGTAAGTTTTTTGTGTTTGGCTTGTTTTATACTTTTTTCTCTTTCTCTCTTTCTCCTTTTTTTTTTTTTACATTTTGTTCTTTTTTTCTCTCTTCCTTCTCTCTTCCTTCTTTTTCTTTTTTTTTTCTCCCTCTCCTTTACCTCTGCTTTTGATTGTAGCTGTTCCCCCCTTCTGTGGTCATGACGGCTTCTTCTTCGCACAGTGACTGTTTGGTGGTCTTGTTTGGGGCATCCGCTGGTGGAAATGGGGCTAAGCTGGGGTCCGATGAGAGGGAACTAATTCTGTTGGTGTGGCAAGTTGTGGATCTTCCCAGCAAGAAGGTATGACTTCCCAAACTCTTCCTACACCGTTGGGCGATTTGCAAAAAGAAAGGAAAAAAAACGAAAGAAAGAGAGGTGAAACTGCTTAACTGAGATCCGTCTCCTCTCTCATTCAACCACCCGAGGGGGATTTCTATATCTGAGCAAACATATCCAGGGCTGGAATGAGCTTGGCTCACCTCCCCCAACTTGGCTTGAGGAGGGATGGTGGGTTGGAAGAAAGCAGGGAGAAACTATTTAAGTTTGGACTGGGACAATTCATTAAAAGCTCAGCTCAAAAAATTTCCCTTGAAATTGAGCAGGAGAATCAAATCCAGATTACAAAAGAATGAAATCTTCCCACCTTCCCTCGTTCTGAGTCAATAGAAACATTTTCATGTTTAAGAGACTCTAAAAGGCGCTTCCTTCTTGTAAAAAGAAAACCCAAACGGCCCCTTTAACCATGTTTGGGATATTGGATATGTACCTTTTTGTGTTTCTGTGTTTGAAATAATCAGGCCTGCATGTTTGCTTGGGAAACCTGTCGCTTGATACGGGAATTATACCGGAGTAGGAGAAAAACCTGTTTCGTGCAAACCCAGAAGAACTAGGTCCAATCCCTATGTTTACTTTCTTCCTCGCCCTCCCAACCCCCATTCCAAAGTGAATTTCAAACGAATAATTCGAAAAGAAAACAAGAGGAGAGGCATTTCGAGGGCTCCCCTGCTCCGGGATTTCTCAATCGAGTCCATTCTGATGGGATCCACTTGAATTTTATTTCCCTCCCTTCCACTAGAATGATGCAAGAATTGCAGCTGGGTCTCTTAAAAATAACCTCTACTTTTATGGGGAGGCTGCGAATCTCCTTGAAGGCAAAGTCAGGAGAGAAACGGAGATGGGGAGTTTGTGAAATTAGCAACTACATCTCCAGCCATCCCTTCCAATTTCAATGGAGCCAGCTGTGGTTCTAACCTTTTTTTAAAATACACATTGTTCTTACAAGTCGCTCCATCGTTCCTCGAGTTGTAATTTTCTTTTTTTTCCCCTTACCCCCTCCTTCTTCCCCTCTGCCCTCTTTGTTAAACATTTTCAGGTAGGGACCCTGCACAAATGCCTGGTGAAGGCAGACAATTTGGAGCTAAGTGAGCCGTGCCGAGAACTGACAGGGTTAACCCCCGAAAGCTTGGCCAAAGCGGAGCCTCTGGATCGCGTTCTGCAACAGGTGAGGGTTTAACTTGTTGAATGCAGGGGAGCAGGATTCCAAGTGGTGCAATCAAGCAAACAAGAAGCTTTCGCTTTGAAATTTTTTTGTCAAGCGACCCCTTGCCAAGTAAAGCGTGTTTATTCTGCAACCAAGGCTGGCTGGCACCATCTGCCACGTGTGCAGCCACATGGTTGGTGGCCTGTGAGTGGCTGGGTTTGCCTAAGCCGTTTTGCTTTTATTTCTTTCGAAGCCCATCTTGGTACTTGCAGCCGATCGGAATGGCAGTTAAGCCAGGGTTTTGTGAAGGGAGCCAACCAAAGTTGATTCAGTAAAACGTGGTTAAATCCAACATTGGTGAATTTAGTTGTGTGGAATGATCACGGCTGATAGCGTTTCATTGACCAGCGATGAGTGTTGGAAGTTGGTAGAGTAAGAAGGTGCAACTGTGAAGACAATAGATAAAACATCTCACCTTCATTATAAATTACTGGTTCACCACCCTGTAACCGGTCTTTCATCATCCTAGGGAGGTGTCTCTTTGGTGTCTCTCTGATATGTATCAGTTCTCTTTGTGTTACCTGTCAACCACACCTTTATGACTTGTCCAGAGAATCTCTTTTTGGTTTTTGTTTTTAAATCCTGACTTAGCATTATGTATGAATGTAAACCAGTGTATGAGCTATTTTAAAAATCTGGATGTCTCCTAAGTCCTTGCTGAGCATAATTATGACTGGACCTTTTGGTTGGCATGTTCGCATTGACCCATTTATGGACCCATATGGATTAATGTTGAACACAGTGATGAATCTGCATGTGTGAATTCACTTGGAGAGTTTTTAGATAAGTTGTGTGTTGCTGTTTGGTTTGGAAACTTTCGAGAATTTTAATAAAACTTCTGAAACGTGGAACAAAACTTTAGCATCCTCTACAGCAGAGGTCCAACCCCCTAGGGCCAGTCCCGGTCCATGGCCTGTTAGGAACTGGGCCACATGGGCAATGGGTGGCCGAGCAAACTTCTATCTGCACATGTGCAGGAACTAGGTTCTATGCAAAAACAACCCCTTCCTTCCTGCCTATCCCGTCCCCAGTCCATGGAAGACAGTGGTTCTTCCAAGCCAGTCCCTAGTGCCAGGGAGGAGGGTGAGTGCTATTCTACAGTAAAGTTATAACAACTTTTTCTGAACCAAGAGCCCAGAGCACAGCAAGATATACCCCGCAAAAACACAAGGAATGCTTAATTAAGTTCAACACATTTTGTTGATTTGACACATTCAACACATTTGGTTGATCAACACATGGTGTTGATTTGCTTTAATCTCTTTTTTAATGATACCAATCTTTCAAGTACGCCAGGTTAGGAAAGAGAGACCATGTGGATACCCAGAATTTTACTCTTATTTACGGGGCATAGAGTTGCAGAATTTCAGAAGCCAAAACCCAAACTGAATCAAGGCCAAGGCTATTGTGAAATTCTTGTTCACGCCTCCCATTTTCCCAAGACTAAGCAGCTGTTTCACATCCCTTCAACAGTCCTCAAGGTCGTCCGTGCGTTCCTTCACAAGTGATCTCCATCCTCCAATAACACTGAACATGAGAAATCAGATCGAAAGCCTTTGGAGACGGCATCTGTCCTGAGGATAATCATCCTATCTTTGGGGAAATTTTGGTCCCCCTGATGTGATAGATTTTGCTTTTGGGGGGTGGGTGAAAGAAGATTCCTATTTCTGAACAACATTGGAGAAAGAAGGAAACATCCCATCCCAGTGGATCCAAAACAGAAAGCCACTTGTTTTCTACCTCAGATTGAGGTGGTCCTTGATTTAAGGACCACACCTGAGCCCAAAATGTCTGCTGATAAGCAAGACAGTTGTTAAATGAATGCTGTCCTGTTTTACAACTTTTCTTGCCACATTAAGTGAACCTCTGCTGTTCTTAAGTTAGTAACATGGTTGTTAAGTGAGTCTGGCTTCCCCATTGGCTTTGCTTGACAGAAGGTCACAAAAAGGGATCACATGACAGTGAAACTGTCATAAGTACATGCCAGTTGCCAAGCACTGATCACATGCCTACGGGGAAGCTGCAATGGTTGTTAAGCGTGAAAAACAGTCGCATGTCACTTTTTTCAGTGCCATTGTAACTTATAACAGTCATTAAATCAATGGTTTTAGGTCAAGAACTTTTGGTATTCCTTGTTGATCAATAGCTGATTCCAGACATTGAAAGCAAATTCCAGGGCTTAAATCTGGCTTTGTAAATTCTGTGAGGCTTGGAAGAGTAATTGCACTCCCCTCAAAAAAAAAAAAAAATCTCAAATCTTGGAGTTGAGCATTGATTTCAAAATTCTCAATCAAATACTTCATCTACTTCTTTTTCACCAGTTGTCTGAATTGTGAAAGGCAACTTGCCTAATAATTGTCCAATACTTTCTCAAAGGCTTTTGCTGAGATGTCTACTATCTTACCTTAGCTTAGAAGCTTCTGGGAGAAATTTGTTCTTTGGTATTTCTCATCAATGAAGAGAAGGTTGCTCCCCCCGCCCCCAAATAAATAAATAAATAAACAACCAAGACCCTCTGGCTACTTAGGGATTCAATAGATGCAAATCTCCTGCCTTCTATTCTTGGAGAATTTCTCTGAAATACTCTTCTACTTTGAAGGGGGAAAAAAAAGTCAAAAGCAAATTCTCTTTTGGTAAACTAAGTGAAGACTGGTAGGAAAAATCCAAGATAATTATTAAGTTGAGAAATTGGTATGTTTCAAGATTGGGATCCTATTCTGCTGTTTTCCTGGAAATCTGACATGTTGGTTGCTATCTTGTGCTCCGAGCTTGTCTATAAAATTTGTTGGGTGCTCCTTCGCTGGCGGTTTTAAAGAAAAGATTGGACAGCCATTTGTTTGAAAGGGTATAGGGTCTCCCGATTGAGCAAAGGGGGGCAGACTAGAAGACCTCCAAGGTCCCTTCCAATTCTGTAATTCTGTATCTATTCTGTTTGAAATGTCTTCTTCCCATTCATGTTTCTAAACAGACGTTGGTAACTCCATATGTTTCACCAAGGCCATCTCTGTGATAGTCCAGCGGTTATGCTAACATAATAACTTTACTCTTTGTCTTGGGGACTGGATAGCACCATTCAGAAGTGCTAGGTGATATTTTCTCACAATCCCCCAAAAGCATAGTGGAGATGCTAATCTGGCCCTTAAAACAGGGTTCTGTCATCTGGCTTAGAAATCTCGTGTTATGGTAAAGTTGGCTAGATGGTTATATGGTAGTCAATTGAATATGAGGGGTCCTTGGTGTCCTCTGAGCTTGGCTGCCTTCTTGCAGGTGTTTCCTGATTCATACTAGGCAACATCATCACTGCTATCAGGACTAGCACTGATGATGTTACCTAGTTGGGTAATGAAACGTCTACAAGAAAACAACCAACCTCAAGGAGCACTGTGGACCCCTCATTTCAACCCTGAGCTGCAAGTATTCTCCTTTACTGTTAAACTGAATATTCTTTTGTATGCTTTTCCACCATCTTGTTTTTATTCACCTTTTAAAATTTAAATTGGTTGCTTTTAATGATTTTAATGGATTGTTTTATTATACACGCGTATGAGATGGATAGCTGTACAAATCCAATCCAGTAAATCTTTCCCATGTCGGAGATCCCAGGTTCAAGAAGGCTGGCCTTGATTTTTAGGAAGTTGGATTGCACACTTGGTAGAATACCATGTGATTTGTCTGGTTTGGCTTTCATGCAATGTATGAACACATTCAGTACTTTTCTTTCTGGTGTCCTTGCAGGATAACATTGCTCTTTTCCTTTTTTTTCTTTTTATGTTATTGATTTTCTATTAAATACATTTCTTAGTGCTTAATAAACATCGTGTTGTCTGGATATTTAATTTGCTTAACAATACAGGTCACATTCTTAATCTCCACCCCTTTTTTCCAACCACTGGTAAAATAAATTCCATGTTAATATTCATGATATCCAATATTCAAAATATCCATGATAATATTCTCCATCCTCTTTCTGTTTAATTTTCAATATCAGTCTATCCATTTCTGCACAATCTAGTATCTTCTTGACTATCTCTTCATCTCGCAGTATATCTTCATTTTTCCGGTACTTGCAGAAAAGATGATAGGGAAACATGTTGCTTTTATTTGGTATAATATCAGAAAAACTTGATAAGAAAAGTATGTATTTAATATTACAGGTTTTAACAGCAGTGAAGATTACTTTCGCACAACGTTGATCTTTTTCTATGTGTTATTATAAACGCGAGGAATAGCTAGCTTAGCTTGGCTAACTTAGTTCAAATCACACGTGAATGGAAATATTTCCTAACCCTTTTTCTTCCTGTGTATTGTTCCAAGCTTGGAGTTGGAAACCGGAGGAAAAAATTGAAAGTAGATAAATGTAATCGCAAAGCTTTGCTGAATGTGGGTTGGGGTTTTGTTTTTGTTTTGGTATCGCCTTTGAATCACTGTGGGTGTGTTTGCTGAGGAGGTAAAACGGGTTACTAGGTTGCTCTTTCTTTGACAAGCATCTGCCTGAAAAATAGAGCTGAAACTGTCGTGTACTTTCAAGGCTGCTTGGTTTTTTTTCTTCTCCGTGCTGAGCTGAATCATCCTTAATTATAGGAGAACAGAAGCCTCTGGAAGCTGGTGTATTTTTGAGCTGTGGGGAGGAGCAGAGCCATTAGATATGATATATTTCTATTCTTTCACTCTCCAGTTGGATAAACTTCACGAAAAACCAGTTAAGATTGCCAAGTGAGTTTTTAGTGGTTTGGAAATTATTCCAAAATGAGTATTCTGGCTGCAAGTTAGATCTTGCCCTGCCTCTTGCAACCAAAGACAGCTGAAGCAGCTTAAATACACTTTGCCGTTTCTTCTGGTCTCCCCTCCCTCCCGGTCACACTTCTCAAGCAACTCACCATAATTACGTCTGATACTTTTATGAGACAGCACTCTGTTATCCCCCAGTTGCAACTTAAGTTTAGCCACCCGTAGCAGATTTG